ATTTTTTTTTTTAGAACTATCATTATTACGAATTTTCAGTAAATATTAATAGCTATTTCAACAGGAAAGAATTGTAAATTAGTTTTTATTCGAGTAGTGCCGATCTTTATTGTAGACGTACCAATTATCGACATTCTTTATTTGCTGCGTATCTATTTATTAACTCGACTATGCCTGTGACAATTACTGGTCCGTAGAATATCTTGAACAACAATTACGGATCTAATTTTTTTATTTGGATTTTGGATACATTATTATTCGATTTACAAGAATTTTTTTCGGCCCACCTAGTCCCATTAATCAACAGACATGGCGATTACTCGAACGACTACGTGCTTCGGTAAAGCAGTGCTTGTCAGGTAAAAAAAAACTATGAAATTTGTCTGAAACAATAATTTGTGATAATGTACATAAAACTGCAATCTCGATTTAGAACTCAATTTATCTCACGCAAGTTGCCAATACTCCAAAATCACGCAAGATGTCAAATAGTGTCTCTTAACATCACACTGAAGCATTTGATCGAAATCACGCATAGGCTCGGTTGCTGCACATATTCGATTTAATCAATAGTGAATTCATATATTTACGAGTTTCATAATATAACACAACATTATAAATACTTCTTTCAGCAAACCTCACGATCGACAGAAAGCACTAAAATACATCTTTAATACGTGAAGCGATTACTGGTAACACCCTGGCGATTTCTGGGCCAACTATTTTACTCGCTTTAACGTTCAGAGCAAAGAAAGCCGGAAGAGAGTTACATAAAATTGCAAAATCTGATGTAAAAGACAAATGGGTCGATCTGTTGGAAAGGATCCAATTACACTACTCTCTTAAAATACCTTTATTTTATTTGATATTATAGGAATGTATTAATGTATTTAGCGTATTATTCGCTAATGGATTATCATCATAATTGCAAATAATTTAATAAATTTTTATTTCAAAAAATTGAATTATAAAAATAGCAATAAAGTGGTTGACACATTATTCGTAATATTTTCTTTGCAACTTTAATTTAAAATATTTTACGCAAATCGCACGCGGAATAAGTTATACACACGCGCGTACACACACACAACGAGTAGAAATGTCATATTATTTGATTTACGAATAACACATTTATTTTTAACAAAATTCATGTAGAACTAATATATAATTGATTACTAAAACCTGAAAATTGGATAATTAAATAATATAATGATATTTCGTGCGCCCTATATATTTTAATACTTTTTAACAAGAAAAGGAAGAAACAATGATCTCGAGGTAAGAAAGCGAGTACTTACCCGAATGGCATTTTTCAGCGTCTCCGCTTCTTGACGAAGGCTATCGAGCTCGTTCATGATGTCTGGCAGATGACGCGCGTGCCTTATAAGCACCCGTTAACGGGTACAAGATACTGAAACGTCGTGCGTGCGAGAGGGGCTTGATGGAGCTCCCTCCTCTCGTCAGGGAGGGCTCAGAATTTCTACGATAATGACGGATGACGGTAGCTCCTGTCGGTGGCGCCTACTCTCTGTGGCAGGAGTAAGGCTAACTGCAAAGCCGGTGTCACGCCGTCGACAGCGTTTCCGGTGGCCAGTGGCAAATGCTCCTGAACTTACCACTCTCGTAAGGCAAGGTGACAGGTAAAGGAAAAGGAGATGAATGAAAATGGGGATAAGGATAAAATTTGTGTCTCCGCCTAACAAAGTCGGGACAACTACCAGCTTCACCCGGCCCCACCTCCTCACCCCCTGTTTTTGCTACTGCAGCGGCTTCCGCTTCCGCTGCTACCACCGCAACCAAAGCCAGATCACAGCTGACCTCTCTGCCCTTCGCGCCAACTTCGACACTGCCCAACGAGACCGTTGCCACCCCTAGAACATAAAATATCAAGTCAATCAAGTACAACTAACAAACACAGTACATAAAAAAACCTTTAAGTTAATTTATATAACATTGCACGCGTCTTTAATTCGCAAAAAAATATATTTAAATTTTTTTAATACACTGACAGGTGTACGAAATTACTATAATTTACTCTTTAAAATTTTTGGAGTAAATTGTCACTCTGAAGAGTAAGAGATCACTCTAAAGAGTGAAAATTGAGCTAATATTAAAAAAGAGTGAGAGTCCACTCCAAAGAATTTAGAGATGATTATAACTATAATTTATAATCATTTTCAGTGCCAACTACATACTTTTGTAAAAGCATAAATGTAATCATTAATTATTAGCATTATAGTAATAACTATGGAACTTCTCACCATAATTAATTTACCATGCCAATTATAGTCACAAATACTAAATACTTTTCTCTCACAGTCAGTGTAACATTGTCAAGTTACATAAAATTACAAATGTCATTGCTCTTTTATCGCGACGCTAGGATTTATTCTTTATGAAGAAAGCAGAGGTGTTACATAAATCAACGGCCATTCCATCTGTCGTGCGTGTTACTGCCGATGATAAACAGAACGTTATACAATATTTCTCGTCAGGGTTGCCACAGAAAATAAATTTTAGAATAACTTGACTCTGACTTTTCCAGGTTTTCCAGATGAAAATGGAAAATTTTCCATAACTAATATAAAATATATAAATTTTAACGTTTAGACTCAAGAATTGTAGCTATATTATTAAAAACGCAAAAAAACTTAGTAGCATAGTAAAACTTTGGGTGCAAATTCAAGCCAGCAAAAAATAAATTAGTTTTGAAAAAAAGATGGAGTTACAACAAAAAAGAAGGATCAAATAAAAATACCAAATAAATTATAAATTTGAATTATTTTGTTAAAATCGTTTAAAGTTGCGCAAGTTTTGAACTATAAATATCAGATATAATATTTAAAAAATTATAACAATTATTTCGAATAGAAGCAGTTTAAGGAAATTGTGAGCAAATTTTGAAATTCCAGATTTTTTTACATTTTCTCCTGACTTTTCCCGGTTTCCATGACCAATTTTAATTTCCCTGACTTTTCCCGGTTTTCCAGGTCTGTGGCGCAATTTTGATACGGTTCAAGTATAGCGAACAGACGGCATACCTAAGCCGTCTTCCGCAAATGTCTTTCTCCGAGAATTACTGCGATTCCTTAATGACTGTAATAGATAATCGCATTGATTTTGCACGCGACTCAAAGTACGATCTTATGCATGCGTGTCGCGACGATTTATATATGCCTAAGGAAATTCTAAGAAGTAAAGTGGATAAGAACATCGCTGAAACTTTCAAATATTTATACTCTGATAGTGATGAATTGGAGTGTGTAACTTAAATATGATTGCTGTATCATTTAGTTGTCATTTAGTCCAGCTAACTAATTGGCACATATGCCATTTTTAAGCGTTGTATACATATAGTAAAGATAAATAGTTATTTCCAGACATACATAATGAGTCGTATCGTTCGTGTATTAAACAAAACATACTGTTTTACTACGAAAAAAACATAAATAAATTAAATTAGAATCTCTGCTGCATTAACAATTGCAATACTCATTTACTCAAAATTTGAATATTGCATAACATAAAGAAGAATGAATTATGCTGGATGCTTTCTGTATTTAATAAGTATATTTTATGTCATTTTTATATCAACTTGTCACTAAATGGGAAATACCTAGTAATTGATATCTATTCTTAAAGTAAATATTCATTAATGTACCGATATTACACTTAGAAAAGAAATACATTTTGTATAATGCTGGCAACTATAGAGATGACAACAACTATATGAGTTTATATGTAGAATTAATGTACAGATATAATTAAATAAACTATTTTATAACTATTGCAACTGAAAAAGTTGAATTACGAGGAATTTCTATAAAACTCGTATAGTTGTACTCAGAGAAAAAGATATACTATATACAGCAACTTATATACAGATAACTACACGAATCCGACCGAAATTTTGATTTCGGTCAGTTTCGGAAAATTAGGGTTTCGATTTAATTTCGGTTTCGGCCAAAATTAAGAGAAAATTTCAGTGAGTAAACCGAAACTGTACAAATTTCAACGCAGTAAGCTTTAAAAAACAACTGTTCGATTTTAATTATTAACTCATTGATTAAGACAAGTTTGAGTACAAACTTTGATAATTTGATTTCTTTAAAAGTTAAGGATGCAATATTATTATATTATTATAGTTAAAATATTTTAATAACATTTTGTTTTTTAAAGAGTACATAAATTTGTCATGATTTCTGAAAATCATAGTCTCTATAAAATTTATTTCAAAAAACTCCTCCCCCTCCTCTCTCTCTAATCGGGTGATTTTAATATAGACATAGAAAGTTAAAAATTACTGTCAGAATAAGTTAATAAGAGTAATGAATTCAGGTAGTTTAAAACAATTGATAAATGAGCCAATGAGTAAATACTTCAGAGACAAAAATTGATTTAGTTTTTATTAACGAGGAAATAGAGGTAAAATAGTTGAGCATGAAAAATAGCGGACCATTCAGTCAACATGTAAGTGCGAAAAAGAATAAGAATAGTATGATTATATGTAGAAATTATAAGAAGATAGATATGAAAAAATTTGTGAGAATGATTGTAGTGTAAATGTTATCGAAGATAATAATGTTAATGATCTGGCGAATTTAACTTATAAATGTGATTATAAATGTGATTATAAAGTATCTTGATGAGGTTGCGTCTAGAAAGAAAATTACACTGCAAAATAAGTAGCGAGGTAAGTAATGGTTTCCCGAGGTGATCCGTCAAATGGTAAATCTAAAAAATGAGGCCTATAAATTAGCTCGAATAAGCAAGAGTAATTATGATTGGGAACTGTTTCGTCAACTGAGAAACAAAGTGGTTGATGAATAGAGAAAGGCCAAGAGAAATTATTTAGAATCTAGATTAAATAAAAGTAAAAAAAATCCTAGACAAATGTGGAGGTCGCTTCGGGAGCTGCTGAAGAGTAGTACGAATAGAGATAATACGTATAGAGAGATTCAGTGTGGAGATATTTTGTATAGTAATATATATGAGATGACAAATATTTTTAATAGATATTTTGTAGATAACATATCAGGGACTTTAGAAAGTGATGATACGTTAGAATTAATAATAGATAAATATACTGAAAATTGAAGTTTTTAGTTTATTAATTAATGTAGGCGAATTAAATCGAATAATTAATAAGTTAGGAAACAAAAGTGGTACAAAGGAAAGAATAACTAATGAGATAATGAAAAGGGTAGTAATATGTGTGTGGTAGCAGGTATAAAATTATGCGAAGTACTCAATACATTTTTAGAGAAGGGAATATTCTCAAATAAGTGGAAAGAAGCTATTGTAATTCCTATACCAAAAATACAAAGAACAAAAAAGAATAGAAGAATTTCGACCTATAAACCAATTTATGAGAAGGTACTAGAAATAACAATTCATAGTCAATTAGTTAACTATTTAGAGGATAATAAATTATTAGAAGAGTGCTAATCAAGGCTTAAAGCGAGACATTCATGTAAGACTGCTCTTCAATGGGTTATATCGAGTTGGGAAAGAAGTATAGATAAAAGAAAGATGATAGAAGTTGTATTAGGTTAAGTAAAGTCATCGCATATTTTTTAGCTCAAAGTTGTATATACAATATCTTCGTCAATAAAATGAATGAAATTCAAATTTAAAAAAAGGGTTTTAAAGCTTGAAATCTCTACTTTTAAAAGCTTATCACATTTTTTAAGTTTATATGAGTTTGATAATTTTTACATACCAAAAACTACCTGAAAAAGATGAAAAATTTTCTTCTCACTTTGTGGATTTGTAACGTGTCCAAAACGAATTTGAGAAAATTTTCGATTACCTATCGTGAAAGCTTGATACTTTCCCTACAAAATCGTTTTTTTTAAATATTCCTACGACTTTTGATTACTGAGTTATCGCGGATTAAATAAAAGAATTATTTTGACTTTAATTGCTCATAACTCCATTAAAAATTGTCGTATCGTATAATTTAAAAAAGAGATTTTTAAAGCTGAAACTTTACTCTATCAAGATATATTTATATTGTTGGTAAGAAAGTAATTGCGGTTTTTACTGATAGATGTCTTTTAAAAAAACGCGATGACTTTTTACTTAACCTAATATTTTTAGATTTAAAAAGGGCGTTTGAATTAGTAGACAGAAATATTATGTTGAAGAAAAAGGAAAATTATGGGATAACAGGGGTAGTACTTAGTCGGTTTAAAAGTTATTTAGAAAACAGAACTCAGAGAGTTAAATTTAATAGAAGTTTGTCAGGATCTATTGCTGTGAAGCTAAAAAAATATCGGAAAGCAATATAAAAATAAAACTAAAAAATATATTTTAGAAGTGGTTAATGAAATTAAATACTTAGATGCCATTATAGATAGAAATTTAAATTTTGCAGCAAATGTTAACTATCTAGGGAAAAAGATAGGATTAAAATTAGGGGCATATCGTCAAATTAGTATAAATTTGACACCATACATGAGGTGTGTTGTATACAAAGCGATAATTGCTCCGTTGTTTGAATATTGTTCGTCTATATTATTAAGTTTAAACGGTTATAATGTGCAGTATTTATAGAAATAAGAAAATAAGGAAATGGGAATTATATTATGGTGCAATTACAGAACAAGAATTGAAGATACGCTTGAGACATTGCAATTTATGTCAATTAAGGAAAAAATTGAATATAATGTTTGTATTTTGGTATATAAAATGATAAATGAAGATTGTCCAGATTATTTAAAAAATGAAATAGAGAAGTAATCAAGTAAGAAGGAAGGAAGGAGTACAAACAAGATTAAAGGAAAATATATATATTAAAAGATGTAAAACAGAGAATGTTGTTATATGATGGGTTTAAAATGTACAATTTACCTGAATGAAATAAGAA